AAATTTTTAAATTGTGAACGTAACGCTTCGTTACTTTGCTCTAACTCCTTAATTCTCATTTCTAAGTCATTTAGGGATTTTTCTAAATTTTTTTTTAAAACCATTTTTTTTTTTTTGAAATCATTTTTCGGATTGGGGGTGCTTTTATTGCTTGCATAGAAAATTACCAATAGAAAATTTCTTTTTACTCAGCCCTCGGTTAAATTTTTTCCCATTTGCAATTGTTTCCATAAATTCCATAAATAAACTAGTCTGCTTGAATAATTTTATTATCTTACCAAATAAGAAGATTCCGCCTACCTTATAATAATGAACTAATAATTATTACGTAATTCATCAAAAATAAAATTAATTAAGAAAAAATTACCAGTGGCGATCCGAAATCGCCAAAAAAAAAGAGAAAATAATAAAAAACAAAAGCATTTAACAAAATAATAATAATAATCGCCTTATTGAAAAGCAACTCGAAAAGACCCTCAGTCTCGAATCGAAAAGAAACTAAAAATATAAAAATTAGAATAATTAATTATCAATAATGTAAATTGAAAGGAAAATTCGATTTATTAAAAAAATATTTTAAAAATCATATCAGTCCAAAATTAAAAAAAAACCGAATTACCTTATACTTGTAGGAATGAAAAATATAAAGAAAAAGAAAAGAGCCATTTAAAAATAAAATAAAAAATATTCAATCGCTGCGATCCGAAACACCGAGCCCTAAACCAATAATGAAACCAAAAAAAAAAAAATATTAAATCTGACACTGTGCAAGATTTTTTTTGGAAAAGTCGTCGATCCCTAAATTTTTTTATTGCGTTGCATCCAGTTCTTTAGAGCTTATAAGAATGTAAATTAGCATAAGGTATTTTTAATTATGTAAAAAAAAATTTTAATAAAATTTAATAAATCAGTAATCCTACAAATATTTATAGATGGCAACAATTTTAATGCAAAAATTATATACATATATATTTTTGTTTATATTTTGTATAAAAACACCTGCATTTTAAATTATTTGTAAAAAAAAAAAAAATTGAAATGTTAGCATGAGAATAATGTGATGCTTTGTCAGACGATTACTCTTGTAAACATAGAATATTCAGGACTTAATAAATTATATTTTTATTAATTTTAAAAGCAATGCTTTATAAAATGATCAAAATGATTTATAAAATTTTAAAATTTATATTATCGTGATTCGAACAACTCGAACATTTGACACGAGTATTCTTTAGAGAATTTCACGAGTCACGATTTAATTCGATCACAGATGAGATGCATCGAAAATTATGTAACTCGTCATCTTTACCGAATTTTCTTATCTATCTATCTACTAACTCTCGCTATAATAGCATTTAAACCGGAAGTAATTGAATTTTAAAAATAATTTTAACATGATCCGATCTAACTAATATTTTTATCTAGAAGATAGAACCGGCCCAAAAATCCTTAACCGGTTAATAACAGGTTAAATTTAAATCAGGCCGACATTATAAATTTGGGCAAAACTAGCGAAATTTTGTAATCACAAAAAAATTTAATTCTGCCCGAAAATTAAATTTTGGCCAGAGTTAAGATTAACGTTAAAAAAAGATCTTTAACCGGTTAACAAGATAGCTTCTTAACCGGTTAATTATCCGGTTAAAAATTAACCGGTTTCAACCTCTCATCTTATCCCTTATCAGACAGGTTCCCGAATGCCAATTTCCCGAATATACCTTTTCCCGAAGTAAAATTTCCCGAACGTTAGTTTCCCGATCTGGACATTTTATCGAAACATCCGAATTCCCGAATGTCCAATATCCCGAAATCCAATTTCCTGAGTAGTCATTTTCCCGAATTCTAACTCCCCGAATCCCGAATTCTGACATCCCGAACACCCAATATTCTGAATCCCAATATTTCAAATGGACAATTTCCCGAATCCCTATATCCCGAATGGACAATTTCCCGATATTTATAGCAATAGAGCAAATATTATAAGATTCTTAAAAGTTATAAGTTATAGCTCTCTTACCAGTCAATTCGGTTTGGTCGTTTAAGTTAACTCCCTAATTATGATATACACGAAAGATATGTAGTATAATTTGCTTACTGCTGGATTTTACTAGGCTTTAACATAAGTTATCGAATTCATTTTCCCCAATACTACACCAAAAACAAGTCTAAATACCAATAGATACAATAAAAAATTTTGGACATGAATGTTTACATACTTGGGCAATGTTCAAGACCATCAGTATATAAGGATTCGGGAAAATGGACACTCGGGATATTGGGATTCGGTATACTGTGACATTCGGGATATCAGAATTCGGGAAATTGGATGTTCGGTAAAATGGATGTTTCATGCAATTCGGGAAATTAGGTTTCAGCGTTCGGGTAATTGGATATTTCGGTAAAAGGTCCAGTTTCGTTCGGGAAATATGACTTCGGCAATCGTGGTATAACCCATTTTATCAGTAAGTTTATTAAACTTAATAATATAAATGATATAATGATTATAGTATTTAAATAATTTTTGTTTAATATTTATTTTCAAAAATCCTGATACGTTAACGTTAAGTTCAATTATTCATCGAGCTAATGTATATTCTTCAACACAGAGCATACCTCTTGTAGTGGACTTGCTGAAAGACGAAGATGAATGAATAAGGCTGTTAATACTAATAATGGAAGGATATTGGAATTGGTTCACCACTATACGTTTATTTGATAATATTAATTCTGTCGGTTTATCATGGACCATTAGTTCGCCAGTTGACGCAACTAATAGTGAGCTTCATATACCGCAACATTTTATCAAAGATTTGATTGTTTGCAACGATCAACATTTAATAAAATTGACTCAGACGACGTTGATACTACTGATACATTTAATTTTTTATTAAACAATTATAAAAATCCTTCTGCTATTTTTCATTCGTTTATAAATATAAACATTAAAGAACTGATTGTAACAATATCATTTCTTTAGCAAATTAATTAGATTAAGATAAAACAATAAAGTGAATGATAAAAAAATCCCAATATTTAAAAAGTAAAGAAAATAAAAAATAAAAAAAATCTTGGTGAATGATTTTTTTTTGGCAGACAATTATGATTAAATATCACAGAAAAATGATTAATCGCGATTAATCGATTCTAAAATCAATTTTTTTGAAACGATATCATTATTGACCAATTTCTTTTCTGGCTAGACGAAAAAATAAAATAAAGTCAAACAAAAGCGTCAACAGCAACGACGCCGTAAGCCGTGAACATTAGTATGGAGATTAATTAATGTGTAGTGGCAATCTAATAATACATATATAATATATTTTAGCTTGACAATATAGATTTTAAATGTTAATTTTTTGAAATCGGAAATTTGATGGCATAGCCAATCAATATATTAAATAAAATTAGCAAAAATAATTTGCCACATTAAAACTAGGTTTTAAATAATTTTTACATTTTAAAATTATATAGTCGAAATTTCACATTAATTAAGTTAATAATTTAAGATATATATATTTAAGATTTTTTATATTACTTACTTTAAGGAATTTCCAAATAATCTTGATCTTCCGAATGAAGGTTTGGATTATTATCATCTATGATTTAATAATTATTACATAAAGTTTAAATAATTATAAATAAATCATTAAAACAATTTATTTGTTCCTTACCATCACTTTCAATACAATTTTTTTGTCCATTATTATTGAAGACCATAGAACCTTCTAAAAAATATTTAATTTAATAATTATTAAATACAATGAATTTAAAATAAATTAATTAATAATTACCATTATAATTATTAGATTTTATTTTTTTAGATTTCATGTTCAAATTTTCATTTTCTAACAAAAAATTTGTATATAAAAATTATTATTTTGTAAATAGATTAAGCTTAATAGCTTAATAATATAATAAATTAGTTATTACGTACGATCAGGATAATTTCTTTTAGAGTTGCCATTTATTTCAATATTTACATCTATAATATATAATGTGTAAATAGTTTTAAATTAATTAACTATATAAAAATAAATATTACAATAAATATAATCTTACTAATTATCTTTGAATCTTTATTCTGTTCGCTTTGATCTTTATTTATAACTTCGGTTGGTTTAATAAATAAATTAGTAAAATTTAAAATAATTTATAAAATTAAAATACTTACTATTTGGAATTTCAAGGCTATTTTGCTTACTATCATATGCTTTGTTTTTTTTATTTTTAAAAAAGGTATATTAAATAATTAGCAATAGTAGTAAACATTGATATTTTTATTTAATACCTTCTTGTTCTTCTATTAATTAAAATAAATTAATTTAAATAACTTCGATTATGATTCTAATAAATATAACTTATAATTTACCTTTAGTGGCATTTCTTGGTTCTGGTAAATTTTCAAAAATATGAACTTTACTAAATTTTCTAGCTAATGAGCTAACAAAATTAGAGTTTGTATCAAAACTCGTTGTTAATTTTATATCGTCAGTATCACTAGAATTACGATTCTTTTCGATTTCATTATAATGATATGATTTATATATTTCATTAAATTTTCTCCAAAGAGTTTCAACATCGGGTCTCTTCAACAGATCAGCATCCCAACATTGTATCATTAATTTCTTATATTCTAATGGAGTGCCTGAAACTATATTTGGTCTCATTCCATTCACTATATTCATTACAAGATCATAATTATGATCAAAATAAGCAAAGGGTGGTTGTCCAGATGAAATCTCCCACATAAGCATTCCTATACTGTAAATATCTGATGCTTTACTACTTTCTTTTCCAAACATAACTTCTGGTGCTATGTAAGGAAGATTTCCATATGCGCTTTTTAAAGGTTTATCAATAGGACCACAAAATCCGAGATCACCAATATACCAATTATTGGTATACTTTTTATATAATATATTTCCTGAATGCAGATCTCTATGAATAGCATCCTCTTGATGAAGAGAATAAATATCTTCAATTATATTTTCAACAATATGAATTCTTTCTTTCCAAGTAAGTTTTTTATTATTTTGTTGTAAATAGTTTCTTAAATCTATATCTTGCAAATCTATTACTAAGAAATAATCTTTTGTTAATGGATCCTGAGTAATACCATAACAAACAACTAATGACGACATTTTATTGCTTAATGTTAAATGAGAATGTGCCTATAAACAGAATTTAATATATTAGTTTTTAATTATAAAACTGAATATTTAAAATATTTTATACCTCTTCAAACCATCTCCGCTTAGCACTTTCAACATTCTCTAACCTTTTAAGTATTACTTGGTGTGTTCCAAATCTGTTTAATTGTTGCATATCAGAATCCCAAATAAGCTTTCCACCAATCCAATCTGCCGTGTATATTTGAGAACATCCTCCTTTAGTTAAATATTTTATATTTTGTAAATTGTTATGAGGGATCCATTCAATTACTTTTTGTGGAAAATTTGTTTCCATTTGACATTTCTGTATTAATTCATC